TTCAGAATTATGCTGTCACATCAGGGCTTAATGACTTGTTTAAACATTCCAGAATTAATCTTGCATAATATTTCTTTTGAATCTTTATGAATCTTGCATTATATTTCTATTACTCAAAGGGCCATGATACCTTATTATCCTAGGGAACTCTATGCAGCCACATAACGGGACATTATAGAAGATGATTTAATATAATATATGGAAAAGGGGAATACATAAGGATATGTAAAAAATAGGGGCCAGCCTGGTGGTTTAGTGGTTAAGTTTGCATACTCTGCTTCGAAAGCCAGGCTTCGTGGGTTCGGATCCTGGGCTTGGACCTACACACTGCTCATCAAGCCATGCTGTGGTGGCATCCCATATACAAAATAGAGGAAGACTGGCAGAGATGTTAGCTCAGGGCCAATCTTCCTCACCAAAAAAAAAAAAAAAGTAAAAAATAAAAATAGTTAGTGGTTGGATTATAGATAATTGATACATTTTTTTCCTCTTTTTCATATTATTACATTTTTATCTGAGGAACATTATTAGAGGAAACAACCATTCTCTCTCTTTTCTGAGGGGACTTCCGTGATAGGAGTAACTTCCCAATCTCTCTGCCTGATCCTTACTTACTCCTTCTCAGGATGGATGGAAGAGTATGTTATCTGACTGGAGGATAGTAAGGGTATGAAATTCCTTGATCTGTGCTTTTTGACTGAGTAGGACTAATCCATTAGAAAGCTCAGAGCACTTGGTGGGCATTCTCCCTGCCACCTTCCTATCACCGATAATATCTGCTCCCTAGACCCAAATTTCCCTCTGGTGCCCTGCCTAGACTCAGAAGGGGTGGTACAAGTGAGCCCCTTTGGCTGCAGAACTAAGCCACATTCTTCCATTAACTTACCAGTAATAAAGCTGAGATTTTGATCTCCATCTATTTGACTCCTATATTTTATTTTTCAGTTTTCTCCAAAACCCCCAAAATAGGTAACACTTTTGCAGTCAAAGAAAATCTTACTTTTAAAATTGTAGGCTGTTCTTTGTGCAAATAATACTATTAATAGGTACCATTTATTAAGCATTGACCTTGTTAATTGCTTTATGTGCATCATCTCAGTGAATTTTCACAATAATCTTACAAAATTGGTTCTAGTATTACCCTTGTTTTTGTAGAAAAACAAAAACAAACAAAAAATCCCCTGATGTTTAGAGAGTTTAAGTTGCTGTTCTTCATGCAATCTTTATTCCATAATTGTGGATTCAAGACTGAAGCCTCAGGGGGAACCAAAAAAGGAGTTTTCTATCTAGATTTGCAAAGCTATTCACTGAACAGTTAGAATAGTGGAAACTGGAATGAGCAACTGCGCGAACTTCCTGTGCCAACTCCTTTCTCAGAGTTTTACATCTCTTGTTTACTAATAAAGGCCTGTTACCAACATATTACATTCAAGTCGACTTGTATTTGCTTGTTTAACTGAAAGCTACCACCCAAAATCACCTCATAGCCTGCTATTGGAAGAGAAGATTGCTCTGTGAAAAAACTATCCCCAATCTACAGAGATGATTTACAATGACCTACTGGGGGCATAGGTGACCTTAGGTGACAAAAATTCAGACATTCAAGCAAGTATGTGATCAGCATTTCTCTTGACTGTGTGAACTGTCAGGAAAGAAAAAAAAACTAGCCCTCTGCTGGGAATTTGGCCAACAGACTGGAGAAAACAAGAGACTACAGGAGATATCTAAAGATTATTGCTATCTATCCAGCTGTTAGTATTAAAAACCAAACTGATGAGTATCTCTTTAGCTGGGAGGCTGGGCAGGAGGTTGCCAGGGTTACCAGATACTAAGGTTGAAAATGGCTGCTGGAAGCTGGCTGAATGAGCCCATAAAACAATCCTTTGAGAATTATCTTTACTTTAAAAGCACTAAGTTTATAGCCCCACAGAAACTACTTGTATGGTTTCCAAGGCAACCCCCAATATCTTGCAAATTTCTCAATATAAAGCCTCAAACTATAAAAATTTCTTGATCATATGCCCCACTGTGCCACAGCCCAGGTCTGGAGCATGCCTCGGGGCTGGTGTTGGATGCAGTCATTCAAGGTTCTGACTCAGCCTCTGCTCTCTGTCTACCCTTTGCTCTGACCGTCTTACCCAGTCTCAGTCACCTTTAAGCAGATGACTTCCAAATCTACTTCTCCATCCCTGTTTCAAGAATTTCCCACATCTCACTTTCGTTGAGTATCTCTGTGTGGATAAACTGCAGGTACCTCAAACCCCTTATATCTAAAACTGAACTGCTCTTTTTTTTTTCTTTTGTGAGGAAGATTAGCCCTGAGCTAACATCCATGCCAATCCTCCTCTTTTTGCTGAGGAAGCTTGGCCCTGGGCTAACATCCATGCCCATCTTCCTCCACTTTATATGAGATGCCACCACAACATGGCTTGACAAGCCGTGCGTGGGTGCGCGCTTGGGATCCGAACTGGTGAACCCTGGGCCGCTGCAGCAGAGCACGCGCACTTAACTGCTTGCACCACTGGGCCGGCCCCCTGAACTGCTCTTTTTACAAACCTTATGCTTCTCCTATCACCAAATAGACTACTCTCCTTTTGGACACTTCTCTTGAAACCTTGCATCATCTTTGTGACTCCTTTCTTAACCCTCTAATGAGTTACCAAGTCCAGCCAATATCTTTGTACTCTAATCCTCTTTTCTAGGCCGACTTCCACTGCTTTAGTTCAGGTCCTCTTTACCCTTTCTCCTGCATCAGCATTCCAACACAATGGTATCCTTGCCACCATCCTCACTCTACTCTTCTTGTCTATGCTATCGGAGTAATCTCCCCAACGTTCAGTTTCAACTGTATCATTGTCATCCTCAAAACCTGTATTGACTCCTCACTGCTTACACAGTGGAGTCCAGATTCCTTAGCATGGCATTCACAGCCAGGTCTCAGCCTTATTTATTCTTTTTTGTCCTATGTGCTAGCCCAGCGTTTCTCAAGCTCTTTTTCATTTGTTTTCCCCCTAAGAAGCCTTCTAAGGATTTTTGTCTTAATCGCCCCTCTTATGAAATTTTAATGCCACAGATATACTATGTACTGTGTGTATATCTGTACTTTATATTTAAAAAATAAGATTTTCTGCCCTCCAAGAACCAATTTTTGCCTCTTCAGGAGCAATATTACCCCTATTTAGAATGCATACTCTAGCCAAAACAGATCACTTACCAATCCCTGAATATCCCCCTGTATTTTCTAGCTTCGAAGTTTTTGCTCACTTTGGTCATTAGTCAGAGGTGTTGAGAGATTGTTGAGAAGATTCCCACAGCGTACTTCTGCTATTCAGTGCACTGTTCCCCTTGCCTAGAACAGACTCACACCTTTCCTCCCACCATCCTCCATTTCTGCCTGTTGAAATCCGACTCTTCAGTGTTGCAAGGCAAATACCTTGACCTCCCCGATCCACTCAGCTGGAACTGACTTCTTTCTGTGCTCTAATAAACTTTCTTTATACCTCTATTATGTTCTTCTTTGCTATGTAGTCATTTTTCTATTTGCTTTTTCTCCCCCACTGTATTATAAACTTCCTTAAGACAAGGACTGTCGTCTTCACAGTATGCAATACCTTCATATAGTAGGCATCAATATTTGTTAGTTGAAATAAATTCACTGATACACCCAGAACAGGATTAAAGTCTACCCCACATTAAAAAGTCCCATATGTTTGCTGAGTAAACGAACATACCAATGAATAGGAAAAATGGACATCATATACAAGACACACTCCTAAACCACCATCATTAACACAGAGACTAATTATGAAGGAGTTCTGTGTGCTCTACAACATTGGTGAACTGAATTGGTTCCTGCTTCATAGAAATAACAAACAGACACCCACGGAAAGTTATTTGAACGGCTACCTGCCTAGACATGTCTTAAATAACAATGATTAAGGTGAGTAGAGGACCCAGAGGCCAAAACATAAATAGCCATTTTTGACTTTATGTTTTTGTTACAGATACAAAATCTTTGTTGGGTTTATCTGTCATGAAAAGAGATGATACATGCTGAAGTACATTTTAAATGTTACTAATCATTGCCACTACATAAGAAGTAACCAAATTAAGCCTATGGGGCAGGAAAGTTGGTCTGACAAAGTTATTTTTGTGTGGGAAGTGAAGCCAAAAGAAATAAACATGTTTTCTGAAAAATGCTTGATAATTTAAAAAATGTATTTACAGTGTATATGAATATATTTAGAAATTTCCATCATATCTTGGAATAATACTTTCTAGGAAAAGCTATTTCTGTGGTTTCAGAGGATTACATTTTGCTTTAGTCAGAGGAATAGGTGTTTGAAAGTGGCACTTGTATTATTTCTCTGAAACAGTTTATTAATAAGATTATCAAATGTTATAGAAAACTACAAACAGGTGCTTTTTACTATCCTTTGCTTCAGGACTGTCTTCTCCTAAAATACCATAAATGGTTTTGCTCCCTCCCACCCCTCCACCCCCCAAGTCTGAGAATGACTTTTGTGAGACTGTGGGTTGGGGGTGTCTGAGGAACGGGAGGCTTGGCAAAGAGTTCATTTCCAAGGATACAATAAATTCAGCCCTTGGGCCTGATCTCCCCACAGACGGCTGTGTAATGAGTTCAGCCCTTTCCGGTCTTTCAAATAGGGTAACCCTTCAGCCAGTTCTGAAGCTCTTAACGTACAATTCTGTGTCCTGTGGGCTCTTCTTGGAAAACGAGGATTACTGTAGTCGTGAATCTCTTTCCTCTGTACTCCTACTAGTCAAGCTCAAGTTCTGAGAGCAAACAGCAACAACCAAAACAAACACGTTGGAGCCAACACTTAAGTCTCCGCCTCACTTAGGTGCAGAATTATGTAGGATTGTTAGCTTAAGGCTGACAGGGGGTAGGGGCGGGGACGAGGAAGGGCCCGCCCCTTTGGAATGGGATTGGTTCCCTCTCTCCCTTTAGCCGTTTATTTTGCATCTCGGTTGGATAGGTTGGGAGAAATATGTCATTAAGGTGTTGTCAAAATGAGCCGTGTAGTTGTGGGCTGTTCCCTAAGTTTGTGGTTTTAGATTTTCAAAGGGGCGGATTTCTTATTGGCTATGGGATCAAGTTCCTGAAACTGGTCTTCTATAGCTTGAAAAATGTCATCGTAACAGGAGGCGCCAAGGAACTTAAGTGTAACTCACACGCAAAGAAAATGACGAAAGTTCCTCAGGGGTTTGATTTCAGTTTCTTAAATGACGAAGAAGCCAGGAAGATCCTTCAGGTGCTGGAAAGAAATGAGCAACTACAAAGGGCAGAGAAGGACAGGATCAGGTACCGAGCCAATTCCTCTCTCTTTTCCCGGGGCCTGGGTCCAGCAGAGGCCCCGGGCGTGCGCGGGGGGAGGCGCGGAGCTTTCGCGGGGCACCTGTCGGCTGCCTGGGACGCGCGGCATCCGGCCGGAGCGCGCGGCCCGGCGGGGGGAACCCTGGGCTGAGTTTCTCTCTGAAGGACTTCGGGGTGCCTGGTTGGTGCTCTTTCCACACCCGGCGTCCCAGACGGTTCTCTGGTCCCACAGGGTGGGTAGCGCCCCTGCCCTCGCGTGCTGGAGCGTTTTTTGGTGCTTTTCTCTCGGAGTGGGGCGCGTGCGGCTGCCCCGCCCCCAGCCGGGACACGTGGGCGGCGATGGGCCGCAGGGGTGCCCGGCGGCGGTGGGGGGCCGCGCAGCCCCGCTGCGCAGTGCTCAAGTGTCTCCTCCGCGGTCGCGGCGTGGGGCAGGCGGGCCGCTGAAATGGGGCGCGGGGCCCTGTGTGGTGCGGAATCCTGGCCCGCGCGCACCCACATGCTTACACAGGTCCTGCGGGTCGTCCACCCTCGCCCAACACACTCTCCCGCTGCACCGGAGACCCTCTCTCCGCCCCACTCCGACAGTCAGGGAGGCCAGGGAGAACTGGCACTTCACTGGCCGGGAAGTGGTCCTCACCCAAAGGCCTGGAGCTCCAGGAACTTGCCAAGTTGTGTGGAGTGACCCGGCCTGAGACTGGGACACGCGGAGTGGCTAGAATGGGTGGGTCTCCTTGCGTGTGGTGCTGTGGGGTAGAAGTTGCTGCGGAATTTCGCCCTTGACCTTACTATGCAACGTTGTAGGTGAGGGATTGGTTACCACGGAATGAAATTGAGAGATAATTATTGTGCCTGGATGTAAATTAACCAGTTTTTCTGCTGGGGAAATGTGGGATACGTCTTGGAATGAATTAAAGGGACTTGCTCACCAGTGCTGGAATAGACCCATCCAAGGCCTTCTCCAGTTGACTGTGGACGGGAATTCAGGGCATCACTCTCAGACCAAAAAGTGTGGCACTGATTGGAATTTAGAAACACATTTCGTTTGTGAGCAACTTCTTGGTGATGTGAGTTCTAGGTTTCCACCTCCTTCCAGATCCCACTACCCACCCCCATCTCCATAAAAAACCTCCAAAGATACTCTTCACATAGGGAAACCTTAGTTGGTCTTGTAGAAGCAATTAGAATACGCTGGGCCCAAGCCCTACCTTCGCTCTTCTCCACTGGATATGGCTCTTGTGGGGAAAAATGAATATTTGAAGTTTGAGGATGTGTATTTCACACCATCATATTCTGCCTTTAGAAAAATAGGCTCCACCGTTTTTTCAGTGTGAAAGTGTGCCCTCATGAGCACAGTATATCCACACCCACACATGTGCGCATGCATGTACCCACACATATGCATGTGCACTGTACATAGGCACACCCAATTTGGGGAAGGAGAACTTTGGAATTGCACGCAATTTGACTTCAACACGTATTCCAAAAGGACTAAGAAACTGTGATTACTCTCAGTGTGTGTTCTTGGAAGTGTTTCTTGTCTCTGGAGAGGATGGGGCTTCTCAAGTGATCCAGTATATTTTGGGGAAATTGAGGGGAGAATTAGGAAATAACAGGAGGGAAGGAAGCTTCCATTTAGGATGTTATCAATGTGACTTCTCATGAACTATAGTCTTGGGAATATTAATATTATTTACTTTAATTTTCATTCAAGGAAATTTTGACTTTTTATGTTTGGCCTGATGCTTGCCTTGTGTTTCCTGTATAGCAGCTCATGGTGTCCACAGCAGCGGACTTTAGGGGGAACTGGAACTACATATAGGTGGCAAAGGCCATTGGGCTAGGCCTTGGAAGGAAGGCTAAAACACATCTTCTGATTTTGTAGTGCTCATACCTAACTAGAGCATCAACAGAAAAAGCCATAAGGCTAAGACAAAATCAATACTGTTAACTATTTAACTATTAAAAATAATTACCCCAACAATTTAAAAAATGTCACCATTAAAATATAAAAATAATTTAAAGAAAGTAGACACTTGCACCAAAGGCTTAAGGCAATTATTTCTAGTACTTTCTTTTCCCCTGGTTAATTCCTGGATCCCACTATTAAATACCCATCACTGGATAGCAGTCTCCATGGGATTGGTCTGCTTACCGGCTCACGTGTATCGGTTTTAGTAGCAGATATTGGCATGCAGAAAAGGCTTTAGACGACATGTCAACTCGGCTGCCTCTTCTGCTCATTTTCTTGATATGTATCATCATCATATTTTCCAAATCAAAAATCAGGACACATTACTTATAATTCAAGAGTGTATTTGGGAGACAGTACAACAGGCCTGTCTGAAAGATTCTGGAAGGCCTTTTTACTATATTGAGAAACAGTCTCAAGATCTCTTGGCTAGGACAATAAGGGACCAAATGGGGAAGTTTGGAAAGTTTGCTGGTTAGGGGACAACTGATGAGTTCAGTTATATCTGTGATAGGCTTGAGGTGTCTACAGACAACTAAGAAGAAATATCTTATAGTTAGAAATATAGAACTATAGTGTCATGCAGGGCCAGAGACGTCCACAGATGGATGTTAAAGATGCGAGAGCAGTTGAGTTCGCCATGCAGAAGACAACAGCCCCACATGTAAAGATGCTCCTGAACACACAGAATTTTCCCCTGATCTTCCCTCATCATTACCAGACCTCTCTGGCTTCAGCTTCCCGGGAAAGTATGTGCATTAAATATTGTAAAGTTTCTAATATATAAAGAGTTTATTCAGATTTTTAAGAAAAACACCAAGATTCAAACTCATAGGCAAAAGATAGGAATAAATCATTCGTGCTAGAAGATACCAAACAGTAAACAAAACATATGAGAAAATGTTCACTCTCACAGTAATAAAGAAATGAAAATTGAAGTAACCTCAAGATACCATGTTGTGCCTTTAAAGATAACAGGAGAAACTCTTGGTGAGGTTTGGAGTGAAATGGATAGATTCAGCCTTTTGTTAGTGGCATTGTAAGTTGGAACAATGCCACTGACAAAACAATCCTTCTGGTGAAATATGACAATACCTATAAAGATATGCCTTACCCTTGACCCAGTCATCCAATTCTTGGTCGTTTCTCATTACTAGGAGATTAAGGTGGAAAAGATGGCCACACCAAGGTTTATTAACCTTTTTATATAATAATACTAATTTCTGTGGTAATAATAACAGCTAACATTTATTAATCCCTTACTGTATACTAGGCACTATATATATATATGTATATATAAACGTGTTATATATATTTAATCCCCCCAATACCCTCATTAGGTACACACTTTGATTTCCATTTCACAGAGAAGCAAACAATTTACAAGCGTTAAGTATCTTGTCCAAGTTAAGCACCAGAGCCAGAATTCAAATCCAGATCTATCTCAAAACTATTTTACCCATCAGCATTGAATAATCCTCACAACCATCCCTTGGGGTGAGTATTATTAATGACTTTGTACAGAAGGGAAACTGAAATTTAGCAAAGTAAAGGAACTCGCCCAAGGTCACACAGCTCATAAGTAGCAGAGCTGGAATGTGAACCCAAATCTGTCTGGCTCTAAAGCCTTTATATTCTTTCCACTATACCATATTTTTCCCTGAGGAAATAATTTAGTAGAGGAAAAACTGGACATATATTCTCAGATCTTTATTGCATTATTACCTATAATAGCAAAATAGTGGGGAATTTCAAATCTAAATATCCGATGAGTGCAGTCATTACAAAGGACAATTATGAAGAAATAATTATATCCCACTCAGTTTGATATTTTAGTTGTGTTTCTGACTACCTTGGTTGTTGTGTAGACACCTCAAGGTTATCATGGATACAACTGTGGAAAAATGCATATGAGGCATTGTTCTGTGAAAAAGTAGAACACGAAATAGTGCTTATGTTATTATTGCAGTTTCTTCAGGGCCTGTGTGCACGTGCACAGCAGCTGGAAAAAAATAGGCAAAAATCTATGCTTTTCCTTTTGATGAATCTCAAGGGCCTGAGGCAGCTCCCGGCACACGGTGAACATTCAGTAAGTGTTTGCTGAAAGGCATGGTCCTGCCCTGACGTCTGGGGAGGGCCTCTCTCCTGCCCTCAAGCCAGCACTGCCGAGATGGAAAGTCAGATCTGGAGGAAAGGATGCGTGCTAGGCTGGGAGGAATGCTGGACACGTGCCACCTCCTGAGGCTCCAGGAAGGCAGATGAGGTTAAGGGTATAGGATTTCATGGCTTAGAGGAGAGGGACACCACGGTCAGGCAAGGTGCCTGCATGGCATAGGCCTCCAGTAAACATGAAGGAAGAAGGGTCTGCACTGGCGGGAGTCAGAGGCTCCTGCAGTCCCTTGCTTCTCTCCCCACTTCTCACTCTCAGTTTGTTTCACCTTCTTCTCCTTCTCCTCTGCCCAGCCGGACTGGATTTCTCCCTCATTTGAACCCTGTAACACACTATAATCTCTGTGTTACATCTATCCTGTTCTGTGCTGTGAGTCTGTTAAAGAGGTGGAAATTACCATTAAATTCCCATCTGACGGTTCCACTTCTTGTTGGGTTGTGGAAAGGATTTTTCCTGGAAATATTCACTTGGGCGTGATTTCTCAGGTCTTGCACAGTCTATGGTTCTAGCCACAGTGAAGAAAAATGGCTGAGAGTTTGAATCACAATTTATTGGCAGGTGAAAAATTTCCCCATACCTCTCTCACACCTTGGAGGAAATATGTCTGTGTGTGTGTGTATACATATGTATGTGTATATACAAATACATATATGTACACATATATATAATATATAAAATCTGAAAAGTGTTTTACTTTTTACAAGTCTTTGAAAAACACAGCTACCTACCTATCATCCCCCACCTCCACCTCCCTACCTCATCTCATAAGTGTAACTGACATAGAAAGTACCGAGAGATTCTATCAACTAGTCAGCTCACGGAAGAGATATCAATAAATCAAAAATGTTT